CGGCCTCTGCAGGGAGAGAGGAGCCGCATCCGAGGATCGGCCCTGGAGGACGAAGGTGGGGGCCGCTATCAGGAGCAGGGCTGGGGGTCCATATACTGCTTTTGGGGGTTGTGCAGTCTGCGGGGCTCTGGGTTTGCCTGCATCAAACGCCCACGCTTGTTTGTGCAGCACCCTTTGGGGGAGCGAAGGGGCTGAGCTGTTGAGCCTTCGGTGCTGGGTTGTATCGGGTTCGCGATTGCTCCAGCTGTCTCTGCTCCCTTTGCTGTAGCCTGGAGAGCGAAAGAGGATCCAGCCCAAATTGGGATGGGTGCTGCGTTTCAGGGCTGGTTAGCGCTGTGATGCTGAGGCCAGGCGGGAGCTGTCTATCCCCCTCTCCTCGCCTTGGCCCGCGACTGCAGGGGAGGCCCTGCAGCTCCATCCTCCCCCCTGCTTTACCAGGGCAGATTAGGACAAGGCATGGCCTTTTGCATTCTTGCCTCCCTCCCTTCCCTTCCTCCCCCTCCTGTTGCTGTTTGACCATCCCGGAGCTTGCTCCATCGTCTGGAAAGGATGCTGCTGTCGGAGCAGAAGGCCTTGGCTGAGCCCCGGCTCCTCCTCCCACGGCCCTGGCCTGGAGTCCTAGGCACGGGACTGGTGCCCTCCCAGGACCACTGGCTGGGATCAGTGCCACAACTGGTCCTGCCCTCCCCAGAATGGGGACCCAGGCGTCCTGGCTCTTGGTTTTCTCCCATGCCAGGCCTCAAAGGTAGCTGGGCTCTCTTGTGGGGCGGGTTGGGCCATGCATGGATGGGGGCAGATGTGCATGTTCCTCCCCTGCCTTGGAGCGGCCAGCATCACAAGGGCCTCCCAAATCTGTTAAACTTGTCTCCCTAGTACCCCTGGTCTGTTTTCAGCCCCCAGGAGCAGAGCCCCGAGCCTGCGGGTGGGCTGGCTTGCTGAGAAGTCTTGGCTGGAGGCAGCGAGATGCTCGAGCCGCCCCAGTTTAGGTTGGCTCCCTGCCCCCTTCCTGGGGGACCTGCTGAGCTTGGCCACGGAGGAGTGACCACGGCCGTGGTGGATGGGAACGGCTCTGCTTGGAGCTGGGATCTGGCCCCGCTCCCGGCCGAGCCAGGACCACCCACCTAGCCCAGGGAGCCCTGGGGGGTACGTCCTGCCGGCGGGAGTCCCGGCCCTGCAAGGTGCAAGGGGCTGCACAGTGCTCCGGAGGGGCTGCCTGTGCCCCAGGGAACCTCCACCATGGTGTGGTGGCACCTGGGGGCTCCTGTTCAAGTGTCCCCTGGTCCCAGCTGAGTTTCTATAGTATCTGGGACGTGTTGTCCCTCCTGGGCACTGCCCGAGGCATGTTGCAAGGAGGGAGCCCAGCAGGAGGGAGTCCTGCGTTATCGTCCCACCTGGCACGTCACCGCAGCTGTCCTCGGCCGTGGCAGGGCTCCAGAGAGGCAGGACCCGGGCTGAACGGCCCTGGGCACGTGGGTCTCCGGGTAGCACTGCCTGAGGGCGAGAGCAGGAGCCTCCCGGACTCCTGGGTTCTCTCTGTAGCCCTGAGTCACAGGGCAGCAGCACTGAGTCACTTCCCCTCGAGGTAAGAGGGGACAATAATGCCTTGTTGTTCCCCCCCCCCATCTCTCTCCTCTCCCCAAAGGAGGTATGTTGGGGGAGGAATTAGGGAGGCACATTCCTTTTGTGTGGAGCATCCCAGACTGGAAAGAAGTCAGGAGAAAACAGCCTATGCGTGCGCCTCTGCCTTCATGCCCAGCAGGTCCTTCTTTCCCTGGGGGCAGCGGGCCCCTCTGGCATCCGCATCCCTCCATGGCTCAGCCGAGCCAAGGGGGGAGCTGAGCCCCAGGCCACCTTATCTGGCCTCTCCTCGTGCTCCGCCGGGGGCGCTTTTGAAGCCGGATGACTCTGTCCACCCGACTCGAGCATCTCGCTGACTCAGCCGGAGCGAAGCCGCTGGCGGTGCCCGGTGCGGGCTGGGCGCGCGGGGCCCCAGCGTGCTGGGACGGGGGCTGCCTGGGGCCCTGCATTCCTCCTGCGCCTGTGCTTTGAGTCACCCACCCCAGCAAGCGCCGGCGCTGCCCCGACGCGCCCGCGCTCCCAGCCTTGCGTTGTTCAGCCCTGCCCGACCGCGGCTTCGTCTCCCAAAGCAGCCTCCTGTCTCCCCGTTGTGCCCTTCCCTGTGGCACCATGGGGAAGTCGGCATGGACACCGGGCTTGATTTTCCCCCGGGGGAGGATGGGGACAGCAAGCTGGCCTTGCCTTTGTCCTCTGTGTTAGCTGGTGCTCTGGGAGGGGTGTTAGTGGTGGGGAGACAGACCTGCGCTGAGGACGGGCATGCTCGTTACCTGAGTGCTCTCCAATAAGATCTGCCGGTGCTCGGGCTGTGGAAGCCACCTGGGCACCACGGATCCTCTTGGCAGCTTGCTTCCACCCTCTGCGTGTTTGGAAAAGCTTTTCCTGTGCTGGCACGGCACTG